CACTTTTCCAAACAGGATGTCTGCAGATTTCTGGCAATGTTTCCCCTTGGTGCAACTGGTAATTGGGTGCATCAACTGAAAATCAATCTGCAATATCATTAATAGAATAACAAACACATTTCCCCTGTGCTCTCAGCCTTCTAAGGTACCTGTGTATTCTGGATTCTGCTGAAGAGACATATGGTTAACTGCCGTTTTTTATATCTTCAGTTGGAGGTAACCAGTGGAGGGAGCTTCTTCCTTGCTGGCCAGAGGTGAAGCTTGATAGTAGGACCACTATCTATTCAGACTAGGGTTGCCAGCTCTGGGTGGGGAAATACCTGGAGGTTTTGGGGGTGGAGCCTCAGTACGGAGGGGAGGGACTTCAGATTCCACTCTCCAAAGCAGCCATTTTCTCCAATTGCCTGGAAAACAATTGTAATAGTGGTAGATCTCCAGGCACCCCCTGGAGGTTGGCAACCTTAATTCAGACCTACCCACCCTTTTTTTCCTTTCTTTTTTTTTTTACTACACAGGATGCAGGTGAAGGGCCTGAAACATCCCCCCTTTTGTTTTTTTAGTATCCTACTGGATGAAGAATGCTAGAGAACTATAGAGAACTCACTGCCACAGGAAGTGGTGGCAGCTACAATCATACACAGCTTCAAGAGGGGACTGGATAAACATATGGAGCAGAGGTCCATCAGTGGCTATTAGCCACAAGGTTTCAATGGAGCAGTATGTCTGGGGCAGTGATGCTCTGTATTCTTGGTGCTTGGGGGGCAACAGTGGGAGGGCTTCTGAAGTTCTGGCCCCGCTGGTGGAACTCTTGATGGCACCTGGGTTTTGGCCACTGTGTGACACTGAGTGCTGGACTGGATGGGCCACTGACCTGATCCAACATAGCTTCTCTTATGCAGCTCTACACCATTGAGCCCCAGCCACTTTCATTCCTTTACAGGCGGCCCATACAAGCATCTGATGAGAGGTTTTGTCGCATTTCTCCTTCCTCTTGGCATCCATGGGCAATGTCATGGAGTGCCGCTGCCAAACTTAATGAAGAAGAAGAGTTGGTTTTCATACCCCGCTTTTCACTACCTGAAGGAGTATCGAAGCAGCCTCCATTCACCTTCCCTTCCCCTCCCCACAACAGATCCGCTGTGAGGCAGGTGGGGTTGAGAGAGTTCTGAGAGAACTGTGACTGACCCAAGGTCACCCAGCTGGCTGCATGTGGAGGAGGAGTGGGGAATCAAACCCGGTTCTCCAGATTAGAGTCTTAACCATACTGGAGCACAGAGCAGTGTGCTGTCACATGCTTACCCGTTGTTACCGTTCAACAGACACAGAAGCAGGCTCTTGCGAAGAGACCGGATTTTATTAGAACAGCTGCAACATGTCATATAAATATAAATATATATATATTATATACACCCTATACATAGACTTGGGGTCATGTCAAGATCAGGGGGGTTATTGCTTTGAGCTTTTGCCATCGACTATCATACCGAGTTTTTTTTAAAAAACCCAAAACAAAACATTTTTTCCCCAAGGAAGAATCATCAGTATGACAGGAAGCAGAAGAGAAACTCACAACCACGAATGCAGCACACGATGATGAAAAAAAAGAGGGTTCCCGCGCACGTGAGTGGAGGCCTTAGAGCCTCTTCGAAAAAGGCACAGTCGCGAGAGAGTCGTTTCTCTCTTTTCCTCTCTGTTGCCATGGCTGCATGTGGGCCTTGCATTCTTTTCCCAGGGCCTGGTGGAGATGCCAAGAGGCAGGAGAAAAGTCATTTGCAAGCAAAAAAAACATTATTAGAAAGCAACTGCAAAGCAGGAGAATAAACATGGCGGGGGGGGGGGGGAGGTAGTGGGGTATATACAGGGGGAAATAAAATGCAAACAATTTAATAAAACCAACACGATGAGAGAACTCAGCATTGGGTGGGTGTGGGGGGTGGGATGCATTGCAGTGAGAGGAAGATGGCATGCGACAGCTGGTCGTCAGGCAGCAAGCGGAGGCAGCGGAAAGCGTTGAGAAAAGGGCTAGTTAGAAACCAAATCAGGGGAACACCCAAGTCTACTTAAGGAACGACGACCGCTTGGGGGGCCAAATTTGCCGACCTCTGCCCTGCTGGACCAGTAGTTCTCACTGAACAAATGTGACTCAGCAGCCACTATGGGAAAAGTCATCATGGGTCCTCGCCAGTGTCAGAGTTCATCCACCCATGCAGCAGAAGCATCTGATTTCCTTTCTTGGACTGTACCACATAGGCAGCCGAGGGGGTATTGTATGTTTGAGTTCTCCCCTGCACAGAAACCCAGACTCTCCACACATTTTACCATCAGGGGAAGGGTAGTGTAGAAGCCTCCCTTCCCTGACATGCTCTGATCTCTGTGTGCGAGGGAAAACTTTTACATTCCATGGGGGAGCTGTCAAAGAAACGACCCCCCCATTTGCATGGAACAGTCCAGCTTGCAGCACACGGTTCTGCTGCATGTGTCGATCAGCTACCAGACAATTCCCCAACAATGGGAGCCAGGCTGGGAAGTTAAGAGGATCATCATGGGTGCGCTATCTGTCCCGTCAAATAATTGTGGACGTGCAGGCCCCGCTCAAGATTGCATCTCCACTACTGTTCCCCTGCTTTGTCCAAGGCAGAAGAAACTACAGAATAACCTTTCAGCTGGAAATGAGGTACTGCAGGACAGCCCTCGCACCGCTCCTGGTTGTTTCCTATTGCACCGATAAGATATCCAAAGCCTCATGGTAGTGACAGGGTTGATATCTGGCGGACATGCCCTACATGCGTCAGACCTGCACAGACTGGTGGCTACACAAGTAACATTCAAGCTGCTAGTGCAGAACCCCAAACACATTGAGTAACCATTGGGGGCTTCATATTAGAACTGGAACCATGCTCCAAGGGTAATTGCAGCAGGGTTGTCAGTGTATCCAGGCCATCAGCTGCTCCCAGGATATGATTCCACATTCTGGGAACTGCAGCTTCCTTTTAAATATACATTAAAAGTGAGCTCCAAAAAAAAATCCAGCCATGATTCTAGGCTTTCTGACAGCAAAGAAAGGCTCAAGAATCTCAGTGGGGCTGACGAGGATTGCCTCTGCTCTGACGGATGGGGTCCCGGGGTGTGGGAGAAGCTTTCACAACTCTTTGACTTCCCAACTATATTTGCTACTGCCTCCATCTCTAGAGACTTGGCTTCAACTCTGTGACCTTCGCTGCTACTCTGATAATTCCCCAAAGAGCCTATTCTGGTTTGGGGCTGTGAAACCTCACACCACAATGAACGGGTTGTATCCCCTCTCCTCTGTTCAGCGGGCAGCCTTTGGCTTGGATCCCACATGAGCTACACATCCGTACCTTCTCACTGCTGTCTGAAATGCCACCCCACCGAAATGCTGCTTTGGGGGACACCCCGGGAAGAAATTTGGGGAAAGTGGGAGCAGGGGGGACTAGCAAAAACCACCCCTTCCTTGTACATGTAGACATTTCAGGTGGGATCCAACCTTTTCCCTGGAAGAAGAGCCACTTCCAACTTATTACTTGCATTGGAAGACAGTCCCACGCTTAGCCAAGCATAACAGGTCCTTGTACATGTAGACATTTCAGGTGGGACCCAACCCTTTCTCTGGAAGAAGAGCCACTTCCAACTGATTCCTTGCACTGGAAGACAGTCCCATGCTTAGCCAAGCATAACAGAAGGATACAACCCAATTGGTCATTAATGTAAAATGGGATCCTTTTGGGAAATCCCGAAATAGCCCCCCCCCCCCAGCACTGATTCTTTGCCATCATTTATTCTGGACACAGAACTGTTTCACTGCTTATGCAAAAGTATATTATTTGCCTTGTTGATTCTTGATGAAAGGGTAGAATGTGGGGGTTTTGGGGGGGAGTGTATTGGAGGACACACACCTCCACGACCCAGACCACCCCTGGGGAGGACCTGTATCTTAACCTTAAAAAACATGCCACCGTGGCCTTTTAAATCCCCTGCTAGGCAAGGAATGAGGGTCATCACAGTATCTATGGGTTCAACCTGCGGACACTGCAACGTCTAGGTTTGTCCTGACTTTCCCTGATCCAGACCACCCCTGGGGAGGACCTGTATCTTAACCTTAAAAAACATGCCACCGTGGCCTTTTAAATCCCCTGCTAGGCAAGGAATGAGGGTCAGCCTAGACATGACAGTATCTATGGGTTCTACCTGCGGACACTGTAACGTCTAGGTTTGTCCTGACTTTACCCACATTAGGAACTCCTCGTTTTCCAAATGTTTCAATAATACTGAGGTACTGTTAAATAACTTTAGGTTGCTCATATTTTAATTCTGTATGCAAAGATAACTGCTCCATTTAAGGAAAGAGACTGACTGTGGTTTTTCCCCCCTTTTTAATCTCTCTGAGAATTTGTATGTTTGCCTCGGCATTGCTGAGCTGTGCCGGAGGTGGTTTTATTAGACGTTCTTCTCTGCTTTATTCTAATTTACGCGCCTGTGAGCCTGGTAGCTTTAACTGTTGTTATGGGGGGGGGGGAGAGAGAAACAATGCCATATAATATATAAATGTAAGCAATAAAATCCTTGGGGCTTTTTCTTTGCGCTGATGTAAGGGCCTGTAGCTAAAGCAATAAATACCCACATTCATTCGTTTCCGTCCCTTGGTTTGCTTTCTACTCAAATATTCTGCATCACAAGCTCAGTCCACAGAAGCCTCACCTGCTGGCCTCTACCGGTTGAGTGCAGCGGGGGCAATCGGACATTTGAATGCTGCCACGTGTAAAATACTCTCTACGTGCACAAAACTAGAATCTGGAGGGAGAGAGGCCAGCCTGAAACTCTTCTTCTTTTTAGGTATTGTGTGTGTGTGTGTGTGTATACGTATGCCTGGAAGTCATGGTTGACTTCTGGCGACCCCCTAGTGGAGCTTGGACATTTCAGAAAGGTGGCTCACTATTGCCTGCCTCTGCGTCCTAGTCCTGGTATTCCTTGGAGGTCTCCCTTCCAAGTACTTGCCAGGGTCGGCCCTGTTTAGCTTCTGAGATCTGATGAGACTGGGCTCGCCCGGGTGCCTGAGACTCTTCTTGACATCCTAGCCATGAACATGTAGGGAGCATTTCAGGCAGGGAGGGGCGCATTCAACCTACTTAGTTCTGAGTGCCCTCCTTGTGAGGGCATATCCCATCTCCCCCCTTTCAGGGTCAGCAAGCAAGCAGCTTAAAATCTGTGCCAAGGCGATGGAAAACTTTAGCGATCTGGGCGTGCTTGTTGCTTGCCTCCGTGGCCGCTCTCATTTCATACGCACCATTCAATTGTTAACACACCTTTGCCCTTTTTAAATTCACCATCGATACAGCTAAAGGATGAATTTTCCTACCCTTTCAGTGAACCTGGGAAATGGGGTTTTCTAGTCAACGTGACCGTGAATATGAGATCATGGGCTGGCAGTTACTCTGTAGTTTTCCAACTGGGACCATTTCCACACAGGTTATTTGCCCCAGGTCCTATGCCGGTGGGAGGCAGGTTTTTTACTTGCTTCTCCATAGCATGTTGTATATTTCTGCACCTCCCAGGGTTTCCCTGGCTTTCCCCCAATCTTTCCCAAACCTGCTTTGCTGCAAAGTTTCAGGACACATCGCACTAAAGCCTGGACGGCTGGCCATGTCCAATTTCCCTCATCTTGTCCTCGTAGCAGTCATCTTCCCCACAGCACCTGTTTCTCCTTCCTGCCTCCGGTGTGTGTGTGTGTGTGGTTCTTTGCCTTTTAAACCAGCGACTGAATATTGTAATATCAATACGATGGTATAAGATGTGCAACAGGTTTCATGAATTGCCAACTTCGTTTTAAAAAAAAAAGAAAAGTAGCACTTTTCATTGCAGGGGTGGAAAGGGAAACGCTCTATATCTACAATGAAAGGGGCTCGAGACTTTTAAGAAAAATGACATCTGGGAGTTAAGAGAACCTGATATAACAATATTCATGCACAGATTAAGAAAATACTGATAAAGCCAAGATGACCTGGGGGAGGTGGGATGGCCGCTGCTGGGATACCTGAGAAGGAAGACTCTGGGGAAACCTGCCCTGTGGAAGTCCTGTTGCCTCTGCACTGTCTTGGCAGCCACAGAAGCAACAGGAAACAATGCACGCTTGCTCTGTGTGGGAAAACCCCAGGGAAAAAGATGGGAGACCCAGCTGATGTGGCACTTCAATAGTGTGAGATCTGGTGACCCTCCTGTCCTTGGCTCTCTCTCCTCAAGTACTTCTTCCCCATCTCCTTAAGCCATCCCTGACCGCATTTCTACACCTCTTCTATGACACCCTTTGTCATGGCTTCTACTAAGAGTAGACTGAAGCACAAGAAGGACTGAGGGTAATGTCTGTTTAACCCTCCTTCTCAATGCAAATTCTTAAATGCTTGGATTTAAATGTGATTGAGTTGTGATTCTACACTGGAACAGTAAAATGTGTGAGTATCTTAAAAGTCTACAAGTGAGAAATGCAAAATAAGTTTCTGTGTGGGCGCACATGAGGCTATGTACTACCTGTGCACTGAAATATGGCCATTGGTAATTTGATGCTTGTGTTAATCTTGGCGTTCTCCTCTAACCCCATGCAAGCTATGTAGGATGATAAGATGATCACGTTTCTACGAAATGGTTAGTCAAGTGTATGTAGTACGGCAGTGCAAAGATGTAGTTATCTCAAGTTTAAAACTCCTATATACGTGGAACCCCAGAGTGTTTTCAGTTACACCCTCTTGGATGGGGCCACGGTGTTTCTCCACTGAACTGTAAACTTCACCCATAAAAGTAGCTGCTGTTTGCATGACCGTTATATAAAAGCTTACTCCAGGATGAATGAGTGGAGAGTCAAGAACCCATTGGTCTTGCCCAGGACTGCCAGCTCTTTTTCAAACTCATGACGTCGCAGGGTAACCAATGGTGTGAACAGGTCCTCCGTGTAGAGGCACTCCCTAAAACAGGTACAAGAAGTTAAAGGAAGCCTACAAGTAAAATTCTGAGCTCTCTGCCCAATTTTGTTTTAGAGAGAGACTGTGTGTGTGTGTGTGTGTGCATGCGGTAACTTACTTTGTGCCTCCCAGTGCAAGCTGGCTGACCACACTGCTTTGGAGAAAGCCCCAGGAAGAAGACACCCTTCCTTTCTTGTCCCTTGGCACCTGATGCCGCTCAGCGGGGGCACAGTATCCATCTCACAAGACTCTCCATGGAAGGGAGAAGATACACAGCCTGGGTCCCATTGAAGAGGGTGAGGGGAAGCCAATGGGGACACAACAGGATGGGGGAGGAAATGGAGTCACTCAAAGGGGAAGGGGTCATGAGTGTTAAAAAAGAAGTGCCCGTCAACATGCGTATCCAGGGTTTCCTTGTCACTCTCGGGTGGAAAGCGCTCGTGGCAGATGGGGCACTCCTTCCAGAGAGATGGCGAGGGCAGGTCCAGGGGGGATGCACCCATCCCGCAGGGCCCCGATTCCGACATCTGTCGCGCTGTCAGTCCACTGCATCAGGAGAGAACAGAAAAAGGTGGCTCCATAAATCCCAGGCCCTGCACTTGGATCTGGGACAGCAGTTCCTGGCTGGAGCAGGCTGTGTGGTGGACGTGACCTCGACACTGTGCTTAGTAAGAGCCATGACTGAATCAAGCTACAGTGTTAATGCATCAAGTCCATCAAGTCAAGCACAGGACATAATAGGCATTGATAAGATCATAAATGAACAGGGGGGGAAACAGGGTTGCCAATGGTTGAAAAATGGAAGATTGACCAGTGTGTGTGTGTGGGGGCGACCTACTTGGTGATAAGAAGACTTCCCCCTATTTCCTGGTTTTTTTTGGGGGGGGGGGTCTTTCTTTTCTATACTCTAAGCAGCTTATGGCCCCTGATAGCAACAAAAGCAGGATATAACTGAAAGAAAAGTATATATAACGAGGCAAATCTTTGGCTGAAGACCTCTATATTGTACACATTGTGCTAAACTAAAGCCTTCAACATTTGGAAGGGAACAGACCACAATCCACGTTTTACTCCAGGAAAAGTGGAAATCTGCACCGTCAATACAACATATAAAGGGGAGCATATTTGCATAATCCCTCTTATTTTGCATAATTTATTCTCTTTTTTAACTAGTTTATATAATCAGTCTCCCTAGCCAAGAGGCAGGGAGCTGTACTGGGCACTCATTCGTTCAGTCACCTGAAATCTCTGAAAGCCCCCTGGCTTCAGATTTCAGAGGAAGGGCCCCCATACTTTCTAGCCCATCTTTGAAAGTGCAAGGTCTAGACCAGGGGTGTCACACATGCGGCCTGGGGGCCGGATGAGGTCCCCGGAGGGCTTCTATCAGGCCCACAGTGGAACTTGGCTGTCTTTTGCTTCTTCTTCCAGTTCTGCTGCTGCTGCGTCATCGTAGGTTTGCAGCTTACAGATACACACCTGAACAGCACACTCAAGATTGCAACATCACAGACATTTTGATGCAATAATTCAGAGCAAGAGGTGTCAGTTATTAGACACTGTTAAATAAACAAAATATTGCAAGTTATTTTAAGTAAAAAAAAACCTTTGTCTTTGTGTCCTTTATAAAGTTTATATCTCCGCTACCTGGCATTACATTTTTTGACACATATGGCCTGGCCCAACAAGGTCTCATTTATGTAGGATCCAGCCCTCTTAACAAATGAGTTCGACACCCCTGGACTAGACACTTGTTCTATATTTCTTTTAAACGAGATTCTCGGGATGATAAATTCTGTTGGTGCTGGAAAGTACCATCAAGTCACAGCCAAATTATGGCCACCCCAAAGGGTTTTCAAGAAAAGAGAAAAATTGAGGTAGTTTGCCATTGCCTCTTTGTATCAACCCTGGACTTCCATGGTGGCCTCCCATCCAAGTACTAACCAGGGCCGACCCTGCTTAGCTTCTGATGAGACTGGGCTGGCCTGGGCTATCCAGGTCAGGGTAAGCTGACTTACTGCAACCCTGTAGGGCATGGGTGTCAAACATGCAGCCTATGGGCTGAAACCAGTCTGTCCAGGGCTCTTACGCGGCCCACAAGCAACTGCCTTGTGGCCAGATGACAGAGGCTGTGCATTATGTCCCTGCAAACTGTCCCAGTGCTAATGTATAAACGGGTGGTGGAAGTGGTAGGGTGGGCATCCGGGAGATACTTTAAGGAAATACTGTAAGAGCATTCATGTTTGAAGCCTGCTTTTATTTTGAGTAAAAAATAATACTGTTAATTGGGCTTGCCTGTGTCCCTTATAAAGTTTATAACTCTCGTACCTGGCATTACATTTTATGGCACACATGGCCTGGCCTGACAAAGTGATATTTGTGTCAGATATTTGTGTCAGATCCCTCATAACAAATGAGTCCAACGCCACTGCAGTGGGGTTTTCAAGTCAACAGACTAACAGGTGGTTGGCCATTGCCTGCCTCTGCGTCGTGACCCTGGACTTCCTTGGTGGTCTCCCATCCACGTATTAACCAGAGCCGACCCTGCTAAGCTTCTGAGACTGGACTAGCCTGGGCCATCCAAGTCAGGGCGATTCCAGATGTTACCAGCATCAAAAGAATTGCAACAGCAGCTACAGTCGCAGCACCCATTGAGTCTCCCTTTCTGCAACTGGGAAGTGTAATTAAAAGAAAAGAGGAACCAATCTCTCCTCACAGCTCTCCTCACCTGGCCACCTCGTAGAAGCCATTGCCCAGCTCTGGGAGGAGCAGACTGGCTTCCTCGCCACCGCTCTGCACAGCTGCCATCAGGACAGCCTTCTCGTCCTCTGCCTCCTAACATACAAAAGGAGAAGTTGTCCAAAGCGGGTCTGACATCAGCCGCAACTCAGACCCAGCAAGTGCCCTGCCCCCTTTCCTGTCTTTGGGAACCAACAGGGCACACACACACGAAGCCAAGCCATAGGCACGGTGACCCAGGAGGAGCAGCAAGTGCTAGAAGCGACAGGAGGAGTCCCTTATATTTACGACAAAGCATTAATTCCCTACCACTAGTAAAGGCTACAGCCTTGATGGCCTTCAAAGACGTATGTTCTTGGAAGACTGGACTATCAAGAGCTTTCTGCTGTGAAGGCTAAATGGGACCTCTGTGTTCAGAGGCAGGATACCCCAATCCCTGATGCTGGGGCTAAACATGACAGGGGAAAGCTATCACAACCTTCACACCCTGTTTGTGAGTGTGTTGCTGGCCTTGCCTGGAAAGCTGGGCTTTCAATCCCTCTCTTTCGTTTGGAAAACAAAAACCTGGCCGGTAACCATAGCATGGGAAAGGGAAACACAACAGAATCCTGTGCTATATTACGTGGATAGGGAATAGAAAGCTGCCTTGGTTGCTCTCATAGGGCAAAAACGTAGGGTACAAATCTTGTCAATAACTACTCTTTTCTCTCCCTTTCTCAAAGTTCTAGAACTCAGGATCCTCCAAACACAATTGGTGGAAGCTCAGCAGAGCTTTCTCATACAATGCATAATTTAACTTAAGGAGTTTCATCTCTGCAAGACATAGGACCCCGATGGCCTTAAAAACAGTAGTAGGCAATAGGGAAGCTGGATCTTCAGTGGCTATTTCCCCACAATAGCTAAACATGGAACCTCCACATCTAGGGGGAGTATACCCCTTATTGCAAGATGCTGGAGGATGGCCACTACCATTATGCCCTGTGAGCTTCCCATGTGCAACTGATTAGTCATTTTTGGACGCAAAGTCCGGAAGCAGATGGTTCTCATTCCACAGGACCATTTATAAATAATCTGGATCGGCCAATTTCCATTCTTTCCAGGAACAGGTAGGGCAGGGATCTCCAACCTTATTGAACCTTTGGGCATGTTTGGAATTTTGAGAACATGGGCGGATATCACCACAAAATGGCTGCTGTGGGGGGAGGCGTCACAAAATATTGGAAGTTTCCAAGCTAACCATTCTCTTGTGGTGGAGACTGCTTTTTCTGAATGAGGAGGTCCCTGCAGATACAAAGGGGTCTTCTGAAGCATCTCCTGCTCCGGGTGTGGGGGGGAAGGAGGAGGAGATTGGATTTATACCCCACCCTTCACTCAGAGTCTCAGAGCGGCTTATAAACTCCTTTCCCTTCCCCTCCCCTCAACAGACACCCTCTGAGGGAGCTCTGACAGAAACTGCTCTTTTTCAAGATCAGCTCTTATCAGAACTACGGCTTGCCCAAGGTCATCCAGCAGCTGCAAGTAGGGAATCAAACCTGGTTCTCCCAGACTAGATTTTGCAGGCATCATGTTGGGGAATCACTCAAGTAGGGCTTACAGTTCTTCTGAAAGGCTACCTGTCTGCCCTTATTGTCTACCTGTCTGTCCTCATTGAAATCACACAACCATACATTCTTTCGCTAGAAAGGGGGACACAGATCTATCCAGTGAACACTTTCTGTCTCCCAAGAGACTCACCGAGTCAGAACTGGAGTCCTCAGGTGGTTGTTTGATCTGACCTGCAATGGGTGCAGGTTGGCTGATCACCACAGCATGAGCCTGCTCGCGGGCACAGGGCGGTGTGGTAGTAGCTGCTCGGCGGTCACACAGGCTGTAGGAGCCAAGCTGGGCAGGCAGGCGCATGTCCTCGGGGCACTCATCCTCAGAGTCGGAGAGTGGAGAGTCCAGGGAGCCTACGAGGGGTATGAGCACAAACATGAACAAACATGCATCTATGCTTTACACTGAATCAGACCATCAATCCATCATTGTCAATATTGTCTACTCAGACTGGCAGTGGCTCTCCGGGGTCTTTCATATCACCTACCACCTGATCCTTTTAACTGGAGATGCCAGGGCCTGAACTTGGGACCTTCCGCATGCCAAGAAGAGGCTCTCCCACTGAGCCATGGCCCCTCCAGTATACAACTGAAGCACAAGAACACATGGGAAAGGAGGAGAAAGAAACCTACAACCAATCTTACAAATAAATAATCATTTTTTTGGTTTATCAACACTGAGATCCTTTAGGGACTGTACCTGCATAGATTGATTGCAGCATTTTCGACACAAGCCTTTTTGGATTGGTGGCACTCAGGATATGCATGTGCAATTTTAGTGCCTACAGGGCAATTGCTCTAGTATTAATTCCACTGCTTTGTTTTACATGGAAATTATTTTTTTTTGCCAGCTTCACCCACTATCAATAGATGGTATCTTAAGGAGCTTGCAAATATATTATTCAGTAGAAATAGTATATTTTGGTCTTCCAAAACAGGGCCTTCAAAGAGTTCCTGAAGGGGCTTAACTCCAACTATCCACTGTAATATTGATATTGTGTTTATACTCCTGAGTCCTGATATTTTAAATATGTGTACTCTTCTGAAGCAATACCACTCTTAGAAACTACTAAAGACTGTTCAGTTGAAACATATTTTTTTAAATCTTACTTTGGTCCGTAGCTTACAGCCATACCACCCTGAACACGCCCGATCTTGTCTGATCTCGGAAGCTAAGCAGGGTCGGGCCTGGTTAGTACTTGGATGGGAGACCGCCTGGGACTTTGGTCCGTATGATATTTTATCTTTGCCTCTTTGTGTCCCCGTGGACCACATCACGCCAAGCCCTCCTGTCCTCCACCATCCCTTGGAATGTGCTCAACGTCATGTTCGTTGCATCAATAACACTGTCCAACCATCTCATGCTTTGCCGTCCCCGTCTTCTTTGACCGTCAATCTTTCCCAGCATCAGGGTCATCTCCAGTGAGTGCTCCCTTCTCATTTGGTGGCCAAAGTATTTGAGTTTCAGCTCATGTTGTTATTAAAGCATAATTGGTTTACTGGGATTATATACATTCTTGCAATAGATTTTATCTGTTCCTCAACATTTATTTTGTTTATCGGGTGAACAAGCAATGCCATGGAACACACATGAAATCAATCTTCCCAGACAGCGGATCCAAATGCTCTTACGGTTTCTTGCCCCTGAGGCTTTTATGTGTTAATTTGCTGCTATTTTGTTTTATCTGTGTATTTTTAGCTCTAGTTTTATGATGTATTTTTACTATGCATGTTTTAATTGTTAACTGTCATGGTTTTCTTTGTTTATTGGCTTTATTTATATTGTGGCTTTCCCCCCCTGTTGTAAATCCTTTTGGGTCCCTTTAGGGAGAAAATTCAGATACCACTATTTACATTTGGGAAAAAAATAAAGACAGTAGAACTGGGCATGATGGGTAATAGAGCCAGTGATGGGGACACTGACCACGAGCATTCTGTGCCATGTCCTCTTCATCATCTAGAACCGACTCACTCCATTTCTCATCACCTACCTTCTCCAGACGCTCTTATGTACGTCAGCAACTCCTGAGGGCAGGGAATGGCCGAAAAGTTAGCATCGGCTCCTAGGAGAGCTATGCCACTCCAGATCTTGAGGAGCACCTGACCTGTCTCACAGCCCTACCCATCCTTCTGTCAAAGACCCTCCCCTCTCTGACACTGCCAGGTATTCCCATGCCAGTATTCTCTGCTCAGATTCTGGCCACGGGTATCAGCATCTCCCTCCTCCCCCAAACTCATGGACGCTGATTCCTTTTGGACCCTTGACCCTAACACACCAACCTGCTTTTCGGCCTGCAGATGCTCCTTCTCCTTCTGGGCAACCTGCAGAGCAGCCCGCAGCTCACGTAACTCCCGGTGGCTCTCAGAGACCTGCACCTGATGGAGTAAAGCAAGAGTTTGCAACTAAGAGTATATTAGCAAGGAGTGTGCATGGCTGGGGATAGAGCCTGTTGTGAAGCTGAATCTACAACCCCCACATCCTAATGCAGGGAATCTAGGTTACTATTGCTAGCAGAAC